GAATAAATATGACCAGTGATTGGCTCAGCGATCACTACTCTATTTGGGTGTCCGACATCAACTCGGCCGCGCGAGTATATTATATTATACGATCCTGGCACCAAAAAATCACAAGTGGGTTGCCACTCTTTCTGCACCAAAATTGCCATTGACTCCCCCGAAAACAAGATGGAATCAATCAAAGTCTCATTACGTGCTTTGAAATTGTGCGATATCTGGATCCCTCATGTGAGCTCAGGTTGCCAGCGACCATATTCATGAGGTGCTGCGGTGACCTTTTTTTCACAGAAAACTGGTGTGATTCAATGTGTCTTTTGTCCATCCCCAATGTTTCTGATATTTCTCTTTCAAAGTCTGTCGACAGAGCTTGGGAGGGGGGGGGGGGTGGGGGGGTTCGAAACAGATCCCATATGATTCTGATGAATTTTCTGAATTCTGAGAAGCAACCAAGGTGAGATTTCCAAATGTAAAGTTGTACATTTTTGGTGTAAAATGCCAACCTACAGTACAATACTCATGGCTTTTGGTCACAGGCTCGTACAACTCTACCGGTAAATTGTGTCTCTTTTCGCCGTTTATCGATTGACCGGTCAACGTGATCCCTAATTTTTGTGAGCATAGCACATTGCACACTGGTATGATACCGTACCCCAGACCCCACTCTTCCATCCAGCAAAAGGCAATACCGTGCGATATCGGTACGGTACATGATACATAGTTGTACCTTTCGGCCATGAAACCGACCCTCGAGCCGCAAAACCAAGGTATACCTTCCGGCTCGCAACAAACAAGAAAGCACCAACTCGAGAAGAGAAAACCATGCGCAGTGCTGGTTGGTACTGTACATGTCGCCCAGCCTCTGCTCCGTGCGCCTCCTGCACGGGCACCTCGAGTTCCATCAGGGACAATGGATAGTTGGAACACCTTCGCATAGCATAATGGGTTTTGCAATGTCGTGACTTCCAAAGGTGTTCCCGGGCCCGGACATCTCACGCTTGATCGCCGGCCTCCCCGCGCATATCATACCGGTAGCCTTCCGGCCCCATATCACAAGCTTCAGTATGATAGTGCACGTTATAATACCATAAACTTGGCTCGACCCAAAAGTTCGCCGGCTTACCTCAGAACTTTGAGCTTATGAGTACCGGTAATAACGATACTGGAGCAAGGAAGTAAAAACCGAACAGGACAGGGATAAAATCAGGAACTTCAGGAATCGAACAGATGAAGTGTTACTCAAGTATGCGGGGGAAGAAAAAGAAAAAAGGGGGGGGGAGCAGTTGCACCCAGGTGATTCCTTAATTCAATCACAGATTGTGCAGGCCGGCTGTGCCTACCCTTAAAGCCACGGAATATAATTCAATAATTGAACGAATTCGGTACCTACCAACCATTGCTTGCAGTACGGTAGGCAGACAGGAGGCCGGACGGCTACTGCAGCACTACTGCCAAATTATTACAGTACCGGTATACGGTGCCCGGAAATTAAATTACAAGTATTCCAGCTTACTTTACTATTCACATACTTGACGACATCGCCACATCCCCCAAATTCTAGTCCATGCTCTCTCCAACCCCAGACATACCCGAGCACGGCATGTATGTATCCATTATACGAGCACAGCACGAGCACAGCACGAGTGCAATACACTAACAATATACGGTAGAACCAGCCCAGGCCGTCCAGAAATCAAGATCGACAATCCGCAATCCACGGACCAAACGAACGAAACAAAATGATAACAATAAATTATCATAACGTTCAACTCGACTCAAACCCGTATGTATAGACCTGAATCCAGGTCAAAGAGCTGGGCGTCCGGTCCGGTGCCAAACCTACAGCACCATATCATTCCGTCCAGGTATGATATCATGCGAGTACTGTAGTACAGTAAGCCTATCCCGCGAGTATATTTGACGGAATACGATATAGTCAAAGCGGAGGCTAGAGGTAAAAAAATAAAAATAAAATAAAAAAAGGACGGGGGGGGCTCATTCTAACTTCCTTGATATTCATACTTCCCCGCGATGATAATGGAATGGGTTCTCTGCGGAATTCGTTTTTTCTTTTTCTTTTCAGCTTCCGGATCCGGGTACGGTGCAGTAACTTAGCACTCGAGTGCTCGTATGGTGCGATATCGTGCTCGAGCGCCCAAGGAGTGTTCCAGCTGGGCCAGTCGGGACGCTCCCCTTCAGGGAACTCGCATGGCGTGGCTGCCGTGGTTCCAACAATAGTACTGTACTAATTTACACAGCTCAGCACGAGTAGGCTTTCTCCTACTTGTACCCAGCCCCCACCACTGTGGAGGTTCCACAGCACCACAGCGGAATCGGGGTTCCAAGAAGTACTGTACGATGGCATGGGTTATGGACATCCTGTCGCACCTGACCCGAAAGCTCCAAGGCTGGGCTGCTAGTGAACTCCCATCCATAGTTGCCTCCTTATCTCTACACCGAGCTCAATCATCACGAGTTCTAATTGTGGAAGTATTATCGTCACATTGATAAGGTGTGCCCTCTTACTTTTGACCCCCCTTCCCATTCCCGGATATAGTATGCACATTGGCCAAAATAGCTACGTCACTCGCCAATTGCACTTGTACTGCCACACATTCCTACCCCCCTCCCCCCCCCCTCCTCTCTCTCGCCCGCTCATAGCCCAAACTACTACTATACTCAAACACAAAGCCTTTTTTTTCCCATTTCAACGCACAACACTATAAAAGTCTGGACCACCCATTCCATCCCTCAGCTTCTCGGCTCTTCCACTCCCTCTCATTCATAACGCCGGGTTCTTGCTCCTCTCTATCGTAGGAACGCAAAAAGTGTCCCCGGGAGAGGTAGAGAAAGAAGGGAGTGGGAAGGAGGTTAAAGCGACATGATAAAGGTTGGGACAACATGAGGAAATGAATAAGAACAAGGAAGAATAGACACCAGCCCAAGCAATCCGGGAAATACAGAATAAACAAAGGCAAAAGAAAAAAGAAAAAGCACAATCCCGGCCCGCGCTAAAAATCGTTCCATCCCTCATTTCCACCCTGCTAACCCGGCCCAGGGGTCCTGCTGCTGCTGCTGCTGTTGTTGTTGCTGCTGCTGCTGCTGCCCTTGCGGAGCTGGATATTGGTGATATCCCTGGGGCGGTAGGCCCGGGGTTGTCGGGTGTGGAGGTTGCTGATAGGAGGTCTGAGGTAACATCCCGAAACTCTGTCTGTTGCTTAAGCTCGGTTGTGGGGGCGGACCTGGAGGTGGTGGTGGTGGTATGTACGTTGAAGGGTTGTATTGCTGCGGATAGCCCGGAACTTGCCCCGCATACATATTTGGCGGGGAAGAGTAGTGGCTTGGCTGATATGGCTGGTGCTGTTGCTGTTGGCCTCCTGTTGGCGGAGGTGAAGATGGAAGAGTTTGGTGGGATTCCCGACGTTGCATGTTGGCCGACTGGTAGCTATCTCTCCTTGGCGCCGACCCTCCTTGTTGCGTCTGGCCGTAGGAATCCCGTCGCCCAAACCCATTCGTACTACTCGGAGGTGGGTATTGGGGATAGCCGGCGAATCCAGCAGATGAAGGCGGTGGGGGTGGTGGGGGCGGAGTAGGAGTAGGGTGATAGTTGCCATACGGGTGGGGGGCGTATCTAGGTGTGCCCGGGGGGCTCTGCCCATGAGTTGACGCTGCCGATGGCTGGCTTTGATGAGTATTTACGTTCGGCAAGGGTGCTGGCCGCTTCTGCTGCGTTTTTCCTGCATCTCCCGAACTAACAGCCACCCTCTCCATCATTCCTATGATTTTTGCATGCTGAGTGTTTGCATCGGGTCCCCCCCGCTGCTCTATATGGCTTAGTAATGAAGCACCTTCGACTCGCCGATTTGACACAAATGTCTCCACGTTTTTCTCCAGGCTCTCGGCTGTTTCAGTCATCTCCGTGTAGAATTGCTGAGCCTTCTCCAAGCCTGCCCATATATCCAAAAACGCCTGATAGGTTTTCTTGAATTTTCCCAACACAGCATTCCTCTGGCGTGATAGGGCTTCATACTTAGACTGCTCGGCACGGATTCGTTTGTCTTGCAAAAGATCACCATAAGCTGATGTTAGGTCCTTCATCAATGACGACTGTTTGTGTGCAGCTGTGAGCAGCCTGTTTGTATGTGGCCGGAACTTCTCCAGTTCTGTTGCGAACAACTGGGGCTCGAGATTTTGAATTGATTTTTGATTAAGGATCAGAACGTTGGAGATATCGTCGGTATGAACCTAACCAGGAGTCTCAGTAAACCGCCCCAGTCAAGACAGCCATTGGGATAATGCAACCCTGAAAATAAGAATACGCCTTACCTTTTCTTTCAAGTCCCTCAAGACTTGGGCTCGCTCCCGTTTGATTAGATTCAGCTTCTTAAGCAGCTCCTCTACTCTCTCGATCTGTTCCAGAACGGTAACCCCGGAATCCCCCTCGTCCACATCAAGAAGTGTCTCTCCGCCCCGATCTCCGCTAAAGCCACCATTGGCAGCACCAGCCTTACTAACCCATAAACCGTCAACAGCTCCTTCCTCGGCCCTCTCGCCGGCATTCTTCATTTCCTCTATCTCTCCCTTGACCCCTCGATACTGGGAAAAAAGCATGTTGTCGCTGTTCACAGCTTCATCAACAGCTTCCCGATAGCTCCTAATATCCGCCCGGAGAGTCTGTGTGAGTCGACTTGAAGGTTGTTGTGTCCACTCATCTAGATATTTCGCCCTCATTTTTTCACACACGCTCTCCTCAGTATCCAGACTCTTTGAAGATCGATCCAGGATCTCCACAATCCGCTTTTTATCCCTCTTTAAACCGATGAACCTCTCCTCCAAAGTTTCGGGTTTGTGCGCGATATCATCGCACCATGTCCGGAACTCATCGTCCACCTCAATCTCATTCTCAAAGCCGTTTTTAAGCAGCTTCAGCGATCCGGGTAGCTTTAAGTAGTCCAACGCTGCGACCATTTCTGCATTTGCTACGTCTGCCCGCTCTGTCTCTGCGCGGACCAGCTTAGCCTTCTCCTCATCGTATAAAGATGCGCTCTCGGTGACTTTCATAGGCACGATCTTCTGGAAGATATCTGGGCCAATAATCCGGCTAATATCATCTCCTTGGTATAACTCCTGCACAGGAATTGCCCTTGCAGCTACTGTTTTCTGAACCATCGGAATCGCTGCTTCGGCCGGGACCGTCTGATGGTAGATAAAATCGTTGTCCTTGATCAGAGTAATAAGTTTTTCCTGGACGAGGGCCAGATGTCTTTTATTTATTTGAACCAGGGCGGGGCCAGTTTCTGAGGACAAATTGGAGCCAGCCGGGGGAGAATTAGGGAACGCCTGTGATGTTCGAAGAGATTCCTTGGCCAGGTCTTCAGCCAAATGTAGGCGGGCAATTGCAAGTCCGTATTTACAACCCTCACTCTCCGCTAGTGCCTGGAGATACTGGGCCAACGAATCCATAAAATTTTGTTTAACCTACCGCATGAACAAGTTAGCTCAGCTCAGTTCAGTTAGACGCGACAACCATACCTGGCAGAGCAATAGCCAGACCCGCTCAAAGATGCCTTTCTGGACATTATCCTGGACACCTTCAACAGCCTGGGCGTACAGAAATCCGGCCTGGGCTGCCAGTTTTGCAAGCATCCCACTCTTCTTTCCATCCGCTATCAATTTCTCCAGAAACACCTCTTGGGCTTGTGCAAGCATAATGTTAATCAATGTCTTCACCGTGTCCCTACTGAGATCCGTGGATGGTGCATGCAGAAAATTCTCATTGATATAAGTGAACATTCCCGCCGCGGCCTGGAAAGAGTTGAAAGCAGTCTTGATTCCGAGTTCTTCGGAGCGATTTTGATTTGCGGCGTGGCATGAATGGACAGCCGAAATGTTGAAGATGATTGAGGCTTTCTCGAAAGCAAGGGAGTATTGGGAGGTCGGTTTATGTGTGAAGGCATCGTACCTACAACGGGTCATCAATTCGTCAGCTTTGATATTAGCATTCCCCTGATAGCCATCGCCCTAAGATGTATCCAGATCTGTGCGGCTCGTGGAATGGGATAACTTTTCAGCCGCGTCGGTTAAATCCCGTTCACCGTTCTCCGCAGTAGACCGCACACACACAAAAAATCCGCTTCCAACCCCAGGCAGTCCAGAAGGGAGAGGACAGGCGCTCATGACAAACGCAATTTCAAGAAGACACAATTGCTTCACTCACCATGTAAACCCGACCCTAACGCCTCGCTCCTCAACGGGAAACCTCAGGTCCAGTAACTCCAGCTGTCCGTAATATCGGTAAAGCAGATCTCTGCCGGATGTTGAATCCTTCCCTGCTCCGCGCATATCCTGACGTAGCCTGTTTAGAGTAGCACATTCTTCACTGTACTTTTCTGGATCTCCGTAGGTTGCTCGAATGTAGGATTTCAAAGGTGTAACCCAATCGACTTCTGTCGTTGTCTGTGCGGAGCAAGTGTTTTTAGCGGAGAATATAACGGGCGAGGGAAAGCCAAGATGACGACGACGACGACGAAGAACACGGACACCCCGACAGATGGAAAGGGGGGGGGGAGTGGAGGGAGAAACGGATAACAGGTGCAAGCGGAATATGATATGGTACCT